TGCCGCCGGCGCGTGGGAGCGCCCCAGCCCCATCGCCGTGCGGGGCAGCGCATCCCGGCCTCACCTGGCGGCTCCCCCCGGCGGCGACGGCGGCGGCTCCGAGCGCTCCGGCTGCGCTTCACATTCAAACCGCCGGGCGAGGGCGCGGCGGCGGCTCCGTGACCGCATCGCGCGGGGCGGTGACATCTCACTGCCGTCCGGCCAATCAGCGCCCGCGGCGGCCCCGGGCGCGCCGCCGGCAGCCAATCCGCGCCGCGCTCAATGGGCGGCGGCCAATGGCCGGGCGCTTCCCACAGGGCCCCGCGGCGCCTCTCGTAGCGCGGCGGCCGACCGGCACGGGGCCGGATCCGCGGGGCCCGCCCCGAGCCCCGGGACGGGCCCGGATCCGCGGGGCCCGGCGGCCGGAGCCCCGGCGCTGTCAAGGGAACGCGCCTGGCTCCGCGGCGGAGCCGGGACGAGGACGGAGCGTGCGGGATAAAACACGAAGCAGAACCCCCAACCCCGCTGGAGCCCTGAGCCGCTTAAGAAAGCGCCTGAACAAAAAAGGAACACTTCGTAAAACTTTATTGATTTATCACTTGATTAAAGCATGGAATATTATAACTATTATACATCGTATTTTCATGTAGAAAACTTTACATAGTTTTTCATATTATATAATTTTGGTATTCTCTCAGAACTCTATACATCCATTGGCAAGGAATAGTCTTTAAATTATTGATAGTAAATGCACTTAATACAGAAATATTAAAACTCAGGCATTTTAAATATGTGAAAACATACATTTTAAACAAAGGTGCTGAACAAACTCAAGTTACAGATTAAAGGGAGATGCACTTTTGACAGAGTTACTATTTTTAATCTTTTTCCTGAATAGTAAAACTGAGCTAAAATCTGGGGGGTGTCGGTTGTAGTAGTGGACATTGGTTTAGATTGCTCTGTTTACAGTTTAGAATGTGAGGTACCAGACTTGAATAACAAACTGCTGTAAAAACAAACTTTTCCTGGACGGTAACACACAACAGAAGCAACATGAAGGGCATTTTTAATCGCCTCAAAAGGGAGGGTTTAGGGTTTTCCTCATTAGCATCCTCTCATCCCTTCCCTCAGGAAGCCTGAAGTGACTCCTGACAACAAAGCACACAGAGACTCCAGGATTTCTGCCAGTATGGGCAGGCGAGCTGCAGATCCTCTGTTGCACAGCCCGTGCAAGAGCTTTCGTCCTGCTCTGCACACAGCCAGCTGGCACCGCTGCAGGGCATGCAGGAGACAGCTGGCAGCACTGCAGGGCTGGCAGCACTGCAGGGCATGCAGGAGACAGCTGGCAGCACTGCAGGGCTGGCAGCACTGCAGGGCATGCGGGAAGCAGCTGGCAGCACTCGGGCTGAGCTGCAGGGGCATGGAGGTGGGTTCGGCCCTTCCTGACTCAGGAGGAAGCCGAGCACACCCTGAGCACACCCTGGTTATTGCTGTGCTGGGCTCGGGGCCCGCAGGAACGGGCCGGGCCGGGCTGGGCTCTGACAGGAACGGGCAGGGCCGGGCTCGGGGCTCTGACAGGAACGGGCGGGGCCGGGCTCTGACAGGAATGGGCAGGGCCGGGCTCGGGGCTCTGACAGGAATGGGCAGGGCCGGGCTCTGACAGGAACGGGCAGGGCCGGGCTCGGGGCTCTGACAGGAACAGGCAGGGCCGGGCTCGGGGCTCTGACAGGAACGGGCAGGGCCAGGCTCGGGGCTCTGACAGGAACGGGCAGGGCCGGGCTCTGACAGTGCAGCTGCCCCCCAGGCCCTCTCCTCCTTCGGGCTCTGCAGACCCTGGGATGGTTGGACAGCACGTACCCAACCTCAGCAGTTTGTAACTGGTATAAATACAAAAGCTTTTCTTAAGGAGAAGAACAGTCTCAGACCAAAGGCTGAAGGGAAGCATGGACTAAATATCCTTATCCTATGTGCAGAGAGAGACTACAAATGCTGCCCCTTACAGTAAAGAAAGCCCATGAAGCAACTGTGAGGTCATTTAAGACCTCAAAATTGAGACTTTTTTCAAGACATGACTGTAGGGCTTTCAAACCCGTGACACGTGCAGCTGGGCCAGGTGTGTCTGATGGGACATGAGGGAACACATTCCATGAGGCAGTGACACGTTCCAAATCTGAAAAATAATGGTTCAATATTTCCCTTAGGACTACCTACGACCAGAAGAAAAGGAATAGCATATTATTATAGATTTAAATAGAATTAAAATAAATACTTCATTTGCTGCAGTACCCAATGCAGTGACATTCCCACGGAATGAGCAGCTACACGAGATGCAACACAAAAGAATATTCCAAATGCAGCAAGTTAAATACCAGCATTGCTTATTATTCAGTCTTCTCCTATTGTCATATATAACCATTCACTCCCTTCTACTAAATTGCAGGGTATAGATTTAACCTAATGGGCATTTAAAAGGCAGAGCCACAACTACCACTCTTCTTTGGTTAAAAATAAAAAGTGAAAATAAATTGTGAAAGCTTTGTCATTACTACTGACTGTAAAACCTTTCTCAAACAATGCTTACACAAGACAAACTCATGTATTGAGGAGCACCATAAAAACCCTTTGGAAAAAGATCACAAAAAACAAACCAAACAAATAAACAAAAAACAACAACAAAAAAAACCCCAAACAATAACCAAAAACCCCTCTACAGACAGCACATTCCCAGCAGCTCAGAGCAGCATATCCCAAGACAACCTCACCCGAGGCCATCCTACCAGGAAAATCAAATCAAAAAACAAAATAATGTTATACACCTAGTTCCATTCAAGTAGGTAGGTTGTTGTTGCTGTTTGTTGGTTTATTTTTTTCTTTAAATACTGTTAATATTTTAAGTTAGCTACTCTGGATAGCACAGCAGTTAATACTACTTTGCATTATTTTAGCAAGTGGAGCCTCTCCTCCCATCCCAAACTTTCCCGGTTTAGAAAAGTCTTGAAACTTGAAATTCAAAATTATTTCAAAGGTCAAGACATCATCCTGTTATAGAAACATTGTCACAGAAACCTAATGCATTTCAAGGAAAGAAAGCAAACTCTCTTGGGCAGGCAAAGCTGTGGTCTCATGTCACATCTTGCTACACAGAAAGCCTTCAAAGCACAGAATTGTGTTGTTAACTTAGAGCATGTGAATGAACTTGTTTAATTTTGCTAGAGCAGTTTTTTTTGGAAATTCAGGTTTTTAGATGCCACTAGGAACTAAGAGTTGAGAATAAAAATCATTTGCACAAAATGACAAATCAGAACATGCAGATCTGCAGTAAAAGGAGACAAACTTGCGTTAAGGACTGGACTTTTTGCTAAGCAGTCATCATTACTGCTAAATTATATTCAAGGGTCAAAAAGGTGGGTTTATTTCTTCTGAGCCTTGTTTTTGATGTTCTTGTGTATGCTCTATGATCTGCCAATGTAGGAAAGGAAAAGGAATGCAATTTCTTTTTCTTAAATGACTTTAACTCAAGCCTAATAAGCTAAAGGAGTAGATGCTATTGGTGCTCCTGATGTAAAATCTTCCATAAAACTAAAAATAAGTCTCAGAAGATGCAGCACTGATATTAAAAAAATTATGTCATTTGCTAAACAGGAGGAAAACCTTCTCCAAATATCCTCCAGGCTGTCCACGTCAACAGCCCAATGCCCTGCCTGGCCTGGCCACAAAGGAAAACCCAGAGGGACCTCGGGTGGTCACTGGCCACCACAGTCAAGTTTATTATGAACACTTGCCAACATCACAAGGCTACACAAACACAGTCATTAGTTCCAAGGGGCATAACTTCGGTGGAGAGATCCAGCTGATTTATCAGCTCTAGCTGGGGTGAAAGACTGAGCAGTACATAAAAGACTAGAAGAGACGTACTGGATCATACAAATGATTAGCACTGAAACAAAGAGACTGCACACCTACTGTATTGACTCTGTAAGCAATAATTTAAATAAAACTGCTGACACTTCTGTAGGATGGACAGAACAGGATTATTTTCCTCATTCCCACATGCCATTGTGGTAAGAATAACTTGCTCCTGTGGTGCTACACCAGGGTCCCATTTTTTCCCATCCACTTCAATCCATCTCTGGCCACAGCTTTACGTACAGGCCGGTGTAAGAGCCTCACAGGGAGCTACCAGGAAGGCAGGCTGGTGCCAGCTGCGCGTGCCTGCTCGCCCGTGATGCAGATGTTGAAGACCACCCCGATGCGCAGGAAGAACTTGCGCAGCACCGCGCGCAGCTCGGGGATCAGGTCGAACTGCATGATCTCACACAGGTACGGGTAATAGGTGGAAGCGTGTGCCCTGAACTAGCCAAGATACAGAAACAGAACGTCATTCTCGACTGCTAGAGCAAAACAAAAAGTGTTGACACATTCATGGCTACAGCAACTGTTCAAACACCAGGTCTCACCCAAGCCCCCCAATAGCCCAAGGGTGCTGAGCTCCGTGCTGTTTGCTGTTTGGTGTTACCCCCTAAACAGAGTCAGGGCTTTCTAACTTCTCAGCCCAGAGGAAGTACCAGAGTCTTTGTAGCAACATGAATATTTGGTTTTCCTCAAAAGGGCCAATATCCTGAAAATTATTCTTGCCATGGCTGTCAAGGAAACTGGGATTCCAATTTTACAGGGGTGAAATTCACCCTTACCATTCCTGTGTGGCTGTAATACAGCACGAGCCTCTCCCTTACTGCACACTCATTGTGCTTTTATATGAAAGCTGTTCAGTAATTCTATCTGCATTCCCACACAACTGGGAGTTGCAAGGATGCAGCCCCATTTCCACAATGCAGAATGCCTGCAGACAGTGGAGCTGCAAGGACAGCGCTCACTATGAGGAGCTGCCCACCTCCAATCTGGATGGAAATAAAGACAGAACTCAGGTTGAAGCAGGAATGAAAGACACACCAAATGCAGACATGACTTCCAGCCCATTCTTACCTTATCATCGCTGATTTTTAGTGTTTTTGTTAAAAGCAACAGCAGGAGATTGGTCCAGGCTTCTCTGTGGCTTTCCGAGTTGACAGTAATAAAATATGCCAGGGCTTCACTGCACACACTGCAGAGATGGCACAGGTGACACAAACCATAAAAAAAAAACCTTATAAAGTTTTTATTATGTGCTCTGTTTGTCGTCTCAGTGTACTTTGTTTTCAAGCAAGATGTTTCCATGGAAAGTTTTCAATCACATGCAACAACTTTAACTACACAAATTTGCTTTTTCTGGTACAGGAATTGTTTCCGATAACTGAACTGAAATACTTTTCATGTAATTGAATGGAAATACTTGGTGACTGAGAAGGAAAAGGAAAATTAATCTGCCTGATAAACATTTTGTAATTGAAGCACTGTCACTTTCAACCTGCAAACATTATTTCCTGACCCTGACATTGGGACAGCTTAGGCAACAGCACCACAAGAGAGCTCTCCCTCCAAATTTGGACTGGTTTAATAAAGATCTGCACAGCTCAGCATCATACATTAAGGAAAAATTATTATTGTATTAATAAATTTTTGGTCCCTACTGCAGATTGTCAACACAAGGTACAAACTGTACCACTCACTATGGTTATTTTTAGGACACTCTTTTAATTAAAGAAGGACTAAGATTAACATGCCCATATGTGCTGGTAGATCAGAATCCATTGTATTAGTACCAAGAGCAAGTTGGGAGATCTTCACTTTTGATAAGACACTAGTACTTTCAACTTTTATGTAGCAACTCATCCAAGTATCTTTTTATATAATTTTAGAACTATTTTCTACATTTGTTTAAATTCCAGGTGTACAGCAGCTTATACTGCACTCTTTTCAATTAATGTATGCTATTATATCTCTATCACTGTGTACTCAGCTGGGAAAACTATTCAGACACTGGCACTTCCATAGAGAAAAGCCTACGTCAGGCAAGAAGGTGCTCCATCTATTCCAGGCAGATGCTTCCTTACTGCTAAGTGAATTTAGAGTGCAGAGTGGCCACACCTCCCAGAGGGGCTGTCCCTGAGCAGTGCTGTCCCTGAGCAGGGCTGTCCCCCAGAGGGGCTGTCCCTGAGCAGAGCTGTCCCCAGAGGGGCTGTCCCCGAGCAGAGCTGTCCCCCAGAGGGGCTGTCCCCGAGCAGAGCTGTCCCCCAGAGGGGCTGTCCCCAAGCAGAGCTGTCCCCAAGCAGAGCTGTCCCCCAGAGGGGCTGTCCCCCAGCAGAGCTGTCCCTGAGAAGAGCTGTCCCCCAGCAGAGCTGTCCCCAAGCAGAGCTGTCCCCCAGAGGGGCTGTCCCACCTGAGCAGCCGCCGCTGGACCGCGTCCCAGGCCTCCCGCCGGCTCTCATCCACGTACATCCGGAACAGGATCCTCAGGCAGCATGCCAGGCTGCTGGTCTCTTGTTTTAAGAGATTGGGTTTTGATTTACCCTTGAACCCTAGAAATCAGTCCCACACAAGACAAGAGGGAACATTGAAAGCTGGCGTTACTAGCCAAAAATAAATTTTATCAACAACATCTGCACTAGTGACCAGTAATGATTTCCTGTCCAGACAGTATTTCCTCCTCCTTGATTTTGATTGAGATCTGATTTATTTATAAAGATACTTAACTACAGCAGTACCAGCTGTGCAGCTTTACTTTAATCAAAATAAGCACATAATTTAGCAAACAGAATTGTTCAAGTCATCAGGAAGGAGACAAGCAATAAAAGCATGCGACTGTCCAATACACTCTAAAGGTGATTGCAATGGCACATTTTTATCAAATAAAAATAAAAGCCTCACCTGCCCTCCATAATACAGTTCGCTGCTCATAATTTGAGTTAAAGGCTTTTGAAAATGAGTGAGACTCTTGCAGACAATCCAGCAACTTAAAAAGGTGATGAGAAGACATATATTTATACATTCCTTGGTCTTCTGTGTCAATGTGGATAACTGCATCCAATGTGTCTCGCTGAGGAGCACGGGGAGAGGGACAGAGAGAGAGAGAGAGAGAGAGAGAGAGAGAGAACATGCTATAAACTCCAGTAACTCTAATTCCATTTAGAGGTGCAATGCAGTATTAGTGCAGTACAACACAGCAGGGTGGGCCTGTCAAAGATCAGAGTTGTACTCTTCTTAATGGGGTACTTAAGAAGAGAGAAGTTATGACTGATCCTAGCTACTGATAAGAAAAGAAAATAAGACTCAAGAATGAGGGAAGTACTCCCTTATTGAAACACTGCAGTCACAGCAATAAGGTACAGAACATTTCCTCTTCTCTAGAAGCTGTCTGGGTAGGTCTGTTGAATTCTGAAAACATCAAAATGAAGAACAAAAACAGTGCGGGTTTAAATGTTGCCTAGTGTAGAAATTCCCCTTCTTTGGCTCATGTCAAATTTAATTAAATTGGTCAATATTTTTAGCTAATTTCATTAGGAATTTAACTACAGCATCCCCAAAACACTACCTGAATGCACTAGCCAGAACTTCCAGCTTAGAGCTTTATTAACAGCTAAGCCAGAGCTACTGTGCACTACCACCCAGAATCAGAACGTCCAGGGACAGGGACATCTCTGAGGCCAGCAAAGAATGAAATCTTGACCATTGACCTTGCTGAAGTTCAACTTCTGCAACACTTCCTGTGCAAACATCCAGAGATGAGCAGAGCCTCAGCTGTGGCTAAATAAAGACACTCAGTCTAGTGAGCAGAAAAGAATGCTTTTCCCCAAACAAACAAAAACCATTTTTGATAGTATGTATTCATGATAAAACAACCATAATCTATGACACTGATAATAAAAATTAAGGTAATATAATACTACAACAGGCAGACCACCAGGCAACACTGGATGCAGACAAAAAAAAAAAAAATCACAAGAGTAGCTTACACACACATTCAGGGTAATGCTAAAAGTCAGAAGAAGACTCTATTTTGTGAACACGTCAGAGCGTTCCATAGTTTGTACTTTACTGTCACCACAAGGTTGCAAGTAAGTCTGATGTACCTGAGCTGCAGCCATGTGCTCAGCATCTTCCTTCTTGCTCGTTGCTGGATAGAATACTATGTTGTCAATGGTCTGTATCAACTCCAGCTGTACCACACACTTGATCAGGAGGCCAGCAAATAGTTTTTGGTCTAATTAAATGGAGCAACACAAGTTTCAGAAGCAATTCATGATGATTCACTTACAGCAAGGTAGCAAAATATAACATTCCCTTTAATAATTTGATATTTAGTGATGCTGTGAATTATCTTCTAATGAGAAAATCTCACTGCAAGGCATAAACATAAAATTGCAAAGACTTATCCCAAGTTTAACTGCCCCAAAACTTTCTGTAGAGAGCTACAGAAGTGAATTAAGACTGGCTATAAAGGTGCATTGAAAAAGCTGGTATGTTCTCCTTACTTGTGTAAGGACCACCTTTCCAGCTCTCATCTGTTGGATTTGAATACTGGCTTTGTCCTCTTTCAGAAGCATTTTTATCCATGCTGCTTAAAGACTGGTGATCTAGGTCCAAATCCTAGAAGAGAGTGCAGAGCAATTCCAGCAATCTGAAACACTAACTCCCAACCAGTTATCACTTTTCAGAGGACTTCTCTAATCCTAGATTCAAAGGCTTCCTGCATCCATTCTTTACATCATGTTTTACAGTAACATCAAATACAATCCAGTATCAATTCCTTGTCAAGTGTATTGACTACAATGAATACTTCAAAAGCTAGCCTAATACAAAACCCTTCAACCCCTACCACCCTGAGTTAACTCTTACCAAGTGTTTTTCAGATGAATCTTCTTCCATTCCTACAGGCTTCCATGTCAGCAAGCTTCACAGAGTTAAAAAAACAAAACAAAACAAAAAAATCAAACAAAACAGAAATAAACAAAAAAGGTAAATATTGTTGCTTTAGAATTGGGTATATTGGGTATCAATACAAGAATTAAACTTATGAACTTACACATGAGGAATAGTTGTTTTGAAGATTTCTAGCATACAATTGCATGTCTGGCCCCAGACTTCAGGGCTGAATTTCTGTCCATTGAGTATTACCAGGTTTTCTAGGCAGTTTGTACCTGATCGTGCCAACTGCTCATTATCTGTAAAAGATATGTTCCATATTTATCAACTTCTACAATATTAAGGAAAAGTTAAGTACTCCCTATTACTGCTCCATTAAAAATTTTTACCAATAATGAGAAATGCACAGTCTCTTGGCTCAAAGCCTACTTATACAATGTATTACAATAATATGAAGCTGAAGAACCCACTGAATAAAAAAAAGTTTCAAAATAGCCTCCATGAGATGGAAATCCAACCTGGGAAGACAAGAGACAGGGCAGAAGCAGAAGGGAAGCACAGAGTGAGAAAAAGGAAGGAAAAGCAGCAATCGTAAACTTGTGATTTACTGCAAGATTGTCCCCCGATACTCCACGGCAGTAACATGCAGGATTTCAGGTGTAACACTTGGAGACAGAAAGAAAACATGTTTTTTACAAAGCTGTATTTAGAAGTACTCATTAGTTGGGAGAAGGGGGGGAAAGCAAGTGCCAGAAAATAAGAAAAAAAAATCAGAATGCATGCATGTTTCTATGTGTGTAAACAAAGGAGGTAATGTATCGCTGCAGTCAAACCACTAAAGGTTGTTGGCAGAAGGCTCAGAAGATTGACACCATTCTCCAAAAGCTTTTGCTGTGTCACAGTAACACCATGAGACCCTTATGAACACAGTAACAAAAAAGTTGCCTAACTCAATAAAAAGGTTGATGCTCAGATATTCAAGATACTGCATCAACCTACTGCAACACATATTGTCCTAATGGGAACTTTTATTCTTCCAAAATTCAGTTAACCTTCCCCTTCTTAAGTAATGAACATTTAAAACTACATTTAATCAAAAGATACAGGTAAACAAGTTACCTTGTTTCACACACCAGTGTAACTGTGCAAGTATGTCAGGAAGAAGGATCTCGTGCAAAGCTTCATAGAACTGTGTGAACACGTCACAGATGGCATAGAGGGCGTGGTTGCATGTCGTGGTCATCCACTCTGATTTCTGGGACAGAAAATGAAAAGTCTTTGGTTTTATGGGGATTCTTCCATGATGACAACGCTTGGCTTATACATGGCTGGTCAACAAGAGACACACTCTGAGGAGAGGAGAACTCAGAACTAAAACCTCACGACCGCAGATGCCTAGTCAGAAGCACTTAGTTGGCTACATGAACACTGGTCAGAAAACTACACGTTCACAACAGAGGGAGAACATTCTCCGTGAAAACAATCAGATGGACACACACACAGGTTACTGGACACTGTGGCAAGTTTCATTCATGCCACAGAATTTGAAGGAATACAGAATGTGTTAAGTCTGGGGCAGTATGTGGTGGCAATGTCTGATGTCAATAGAAACCGCTGACTCAGATGTGCAAGTCCTTAAAAAGACAGCTCTAGGGAATGCTTGCTTTTTGGTTTTGGTTTTTTTTGTTTTACCTCCGTTTGTTGCTCAGGGAGTTTCATATTATCAAAAATCCGAAACACAATTCTAAACAGGTCTTGCCACCAGTGCTTTTCAAAGGTATGTCCATAACTCTTCATGATTTCAAACATCACTGTTAAGCCTCTATAAACAAATCAAAACAAGTACAGGAACAGATGTTAAAATGTGTTCCTGTGACTTCTTCACTAAATGAATTAAAAGAAAAATGGAAAAAAACCCGAACTTTATTACCTTGTACGAACATCTAACTTGCAACGATTGATGATACAAGAAAGTTCAAACAAAATAGGAAACCATCCTCTGACCCATACTCTGTCCCCGGGAGCCACATTCATGTCATCACTTGTGTATTCTCTTAATACCTTGAAGATTAGTAGGAAAAAAGATTTAAAGAATTTATATGTGACAAATTTAGATACTACCAGTGGTACAGACAAACTTGGAAAGTTAGCTTAGTTCCTACTGTAACACTCCAATTCTGCAAAATATAAGTATAGCTCTGAGAAGTAATTATTTGCAAAAATACTAGAAAATAATATACAGAAATAAATACTTCAATCTGGTTTTACTTCAGTCCAGGTAAAGGCCTTACAAGTTGCTGAGGTTTGGACTTCTTAGAAAGCAACTTTAATAGTGACAGACAACTGTTACATCAATACACATAACAAGGAAATCTAAAATTGGCAGAAACCAGTTCTACAAGTCTCTGGTATGCTGAATACAGCATGCACAGGGGACATGCAACTGCAATGTGACTCCAGGCTCTCCTCAGCCAGTGATTATTAAATTCAGTATTCACACAACAGAGTGATGGAGAAGAATACACATTTGTAACCAAATGAACTAGACATAACTAGGGTGACAGAACAGGAAGCACTGCTTTCCAAGTCATCTTAACATTGCAAAAACAAAAAAAAACCCCCAAAAACTATTCAATTCAGTTATTTCCCATTTGGACTTACAAGACTTAACATTACTTAACTAGCCCTGGTTTACTGCTTACATAATACCAAAATTTCTCCTAAATCCAAATTTAAATACAAACACTTGCAATTAAAGTTTGAGTAAGAAAGCTCTTTCCTAGTAGATCAACCTCCATTTAACAGCAGAAGAGAGTATGAAAATGCAGCAGGGGTAAAAATTCAAATATACCTGTGGTCTTTCTGAGACATATTTTGCACAGTAGCGAATAAGCCTGATGGCTTCCATGCTGGTGTCCGGGAAGGCAACATTACAGGCAAACTCAGAGAGGCATTTTACTGCATCCTGAAATGAGTCAATTGCAGCTGGAAAATGCTGCTGGAAAATATTTGCTGTGAAGAACAAAATACACTTTTTAAAATTTACTGATATTGAAATCCATAGATAAACTGCATCAATCTAGGCATGTCATCCATGGCATACTGCTACAGAACACACAAACACAAAAGGACCAGATCTTCTATATTAAACATGGCTCTTTGCCCTCTCTTGCATTCTTCCCTGCCGCACCTCACCAACCACATTCCCAATTTCTACAGCAGAATATCTGCTTCTAGTCTGTCCTGTCCATAGCATTCAGGAGACCTAAAGGGTATGACCCAGCAGCAGAGTTTAAACAGTCTGGCAGCAAGGTTGCGTGTTTACTTGCCTGGAAATACAAAAGCCTTATTCAGATGAGCCTTCTGAAGCAGACTCACAGCAGGCAGGCTAATTTGGGTGCATGCATCTGTCAAGCAGTACTTACTAACTATGTGTGCTGTAGTCTGAAAGGCCAGCTCTACGATATTCCCATCGTGGTCTGACGCTGCTTGATGAAAGACAGCAAAGATATTTTTCCAGCCTGAACGAATGTTACCGGCTTGAGAGTTGACCATCTGAGCAATACAGCGGATCACCATGTCTCGAATAGTCGGAGATCTTAAAAAAAAAAAGAAGACAGAGAAAGGAAAGCAAGATTACTTTACACTGGCACAAAGTAACTCCCCCACTTCCCTGTACATGACCATGACCCATACCAAGTGACATCCTTAAGCAGGACTAAAGCTAAAGCAGAAATTGCAGTGTCTCACACCTGTTTTTCTTCATAATATGCTCAAAAGGCCTTAGGAAGTCTTTCTGGAAGCGGAAGTTGGCTAACTCTCCCTTCTCAAGAAACTTCATTGACAGCTGCCTTAATGAGTCTACAGCAAAGATGGCAACATCTTCGTTAGGGTTACACCCAACCTAGAAGAAAAGCATATTTTCATACAGTTATCATTAATGTGTCATTTATATGAGTAACAAATTCCTCACTCAAGTTCCATCTCAGCCCACTAAATACTGCTAGCACATTCTAGTGTTCTGATACTTGGGGAAGATGGGGCTCTTGTTGAAGGGGGCTTCCTGTCATTTCATCCATCTAAACAGACCTATGGATTTTGAATGCATCAAGCAGATTTGTAATAGCTAGCTAGATGCTAAAATTAAAATACAGTACAATACAATAAAATAAATGGAATCTTTGGTTAAAAATCTCTTCCTAACAGGATTCAATTTCCTAAGAAAACAACTGTTGTTCAAGGATCACCTGTGTACATTTTAGAGGAAAACTAACTTGGCATTTTATCCGAAGAAAATGACACGTAAAAATTACAAAAATACCAAATCATATGATGAAGACCAAATTATATAATTAAAGATAATTCCTATAAACATTTCTATTCGTACATTTTAGATTTTTAAGTAGGTGCTTCTTTTAGGTACCTTGAATACAATTTTTTTCAGTATCAGAGTTCAAGCCCCTAACAACACAGAAGGGAAAAGTTGATTCAAGAAGTCCCACTATTTATGCATATTGTGTAACTTGATTTTAAAGCGTACCTTATTGAAGTGATCTCCAATCACATGCCAAATCCTCGACCACTGCAGCCGGATGCGGTTCATGTTGTAGTAGGAGATCTCCACGATCTTCTGCAGGCTGAACATGCGCGGGTGGTGCGGGGACGCCAGCTCGTCCATGGACACAGCACACAGCCACCGCACAAAGTCAACTGCACGGGAGAAGCCTGCTGTGAGCCAGGCTGCTCCTGTGCCAGGGGCCCTGGAACCCACCACACGTACCTATGGCGTTCCCGTCCAGCCTCGTGGAGCCCGTGAATATCCTACAACAAACACAGCAGTTGGAGTTTCAGCTGCGCATCCGCAATAATCGGTTACAGCTCAATGCTGCAGCAAAAGGTCAGCACATCTGGAGGTACTTCACAGTCCTCCACACCACGAACTCTGCATCTCTTGTATTCTTGCTCCTTGGCAGCAGTACATGCATCTTTCCTTAGTCTAAGCATCCTGTTTCCTGCACCAAGTCAGTCTACCACGCTCCTGCCCCACTGCAGCAACAGGCACAGGCTCACAAGTTTACACAGGCCAGGTTATACTGGAACACTCATTTGGGTGACAGCATGTTAAATTTCATGGGGACAATAAACAGACAGAAAGCTTTGCTACAAGACTTTACTGTTATCAGCCACCTTTGATCTTTATATTCTCTGAGAATATGGTCAGCTGTGGCTGTCAAATCAGACAGGAGAAAGACTATGGATGCACTGCTGTCCCTTCTTCCCCTTCAGCTGTTGGATCTTGAGAGGAGTTCAGACTGCTGATAGTGGTCCATATAGAACACTGATAAAGCAGAGAACATTCCCAAATGTCCTGGAGTTTGATGTGGTGATAGACGTGTTCATGGTTAGAATAAACACTGCAAGTCTGAATATATGATTGTGCAGACTTGCAGAACATTGTGATCAGTAGTTACTCAGAACTCCCATTCCAACACACAGTTTAGGAAAGAAGCATGTCTTTAAACAACACTTCAGAAGGGCAGATGACAAAGATGATGATTTAGGTAAAAGTGAGAGGTTACATTCTCAGTACCTGTCTACTGCTACCACCACACTCTGCGAGCTGGTCTCCCCCACAGACTCCTGGATGCTCGCCATGTGCCGTTTGTCAGCCCCACTCCCAACGAGGTTCCCTGCCATAAATCCAGCAAAAAACAGCATTTGCCATCAGGAAATAATAACTTACTATTAACTCCAACATCAAACAAGTAGACAAAGAGAAGTGACTACTGCTTCTAGTTACCATGTAATTTATATAGAGCAGATAGCGCCTTTCCCAAATCTGTGCCAGATTATTACCCAGCTAAACATTATATTTATTAGGTTAAGATGATATTATATTGTTAATAAAATTGGAACAGATAAAATATTTTAAAATATGAACTCTAAGTCAGCTACAAATAGTTAATGCTGAACACAGTTCTGTATTCATTGTAATCATCATTATAGCATCCACTCCAAAGTTTTTTTGAATTAAATTGATTCCTTAGTGGTTTTACAAAGATTAAGGCAACTTGCCTTGTCCCTGTAATTTAAGTCAAAAATCTAAGATTTGTTTCTTGTACACACTGCAGAAACAATAGGAACTGGAATAACAAGCCCAACATGTAAAGATAAGAAATTCCTTTGAAAAACCAATTGCCAGTTATTGAAACATCTATTAATTCCTAAAAATAAATGGCTCTTTTTCAAATTAATTAATACTTTTAACAAAACCATGACTTCGTACAGCAAAACAGTTTTGACAACAACACATTCCAACAAATAAATGTGGAGTAGTTATTAAATAGCTTAACCTAATTCCAAAGTTACAACAGATTTGGTAATTATAAACACATATTGGAATACACAGTTTCATTAATCCAACACAGCTTCCCCTGGAGGCAAGTAAATATATTTGAGTATATTACAACACTGAGGATTCTTTAACATCCTTACTCCACTTGTATGTGTATCTTTGTGAAGTTCAAGGTTAATAATCTTACCTAATCCCAGGCTCATAAACTCTTCTCCTGCAGAGGCATAGCCCTTAGTGCTGCCTTCCCTCTCACGCCCAGAACCAGACAAATACCGAGTTTTCACACCAGTTCCTATGAGCTGTGCCAGTTCCAGCTGGCTGATACATTTCAAGATCTAAAACCAAAAGAAATTTAACATTGTGTTTCTGCACACCACCATTCTTTTATTCTTAACATATATTTGTATTTAACATTTATGACCTTCCCAGGTTCTCCAGCCATTCAAACAACTTTGGCCGTTATAACAGCTTTGATGGAGCTAAAAACATTACTAATAAAAATGAAAATTAAGTTGATTGCACTCGCTATTATCAGCCACATGAATCATTCCAATACAAGAATAAAATAAACAGTGCTCCAAAATCTAACCTGGATCTGTAACTACTAAAGGATCCCTTTTCATTACTTTTTACACCATCAACTTTCAAGATTATAAACCAGTTGGAGCTGATCTTCTAGAGACTTCATGGTCCTAGAGATGAAAAGACTGAAACATTGCAGCTATCACCACTCGAGTAGCAATGTTCCAGCCTAGACAGTGTAAATGCCAGTGCTGTGCTTGCCTCCTCCTTCCTCCCCCACAGCCACATCCCCTGGCTGGCACAAGCACTCAGCAGAGTGTGCTGTGAGCCAGGTCTGAGACATCTGTCAGCTCCAGCACATTTTGGCTCATATCATATAGCCCAAGACTAGAGCCAGAGAACATAATGCAGTAGAAATGCTCCTTTTAGCAACAGCACAGATTTAGAGCTGATAAAATTGCTCCTGGAAAATAGGATTTAAAAAAATGCATATACTCCTGATAGCTCATCTTTACCAATCATCCCCCAAAGTATTTTAGCCCTAATTTTTCAGCTGCTTATGGTGCAAATGTTGACAAACATTGCATAGACAAGTGTGGATCTGTAAGCTAGAATATTTTGTTTCCATGAGTAAAATTACAACAGTTTATATGAGGAATTTTCTGAAGCCAAATGAGATTTTTTTATATCATTTAAATCCTATATCAAATGCAGCCACAAAAATTACAATGTTGTCACACAGTTTCCACAATGTCTTAAAAAAATGCAATGCATTATTTTTATCTACATATTAGAAAAAAAAAAAAAACAAAAAAACAACAAACAACAAAAACTTAACAATATAATGCACTTCCTTTGCATTTTTGAGTGACTTCTGGGAGCTGATAGTAGAAGAAAAAATATGACACCACATTCACTATTTAAACTAATGAAGATTTACCTCATGCCAAGAATTGCCAAGATAGTTGCCATCTGTGTGAGCAACTGTAATGAGCGTCTTAATGGTATCGATGTTCTTCTGTTTCATTTCTGTAATGCTGGAACTGGCAGTCAACAAGGAAAAACGAGCAAGGGCCTGGACATAAGCATCTCGTTCAAGCTACAAGACACAGAAACAAGCATGAAAATCAAGTCCCCGAAGAACCAGAGAAAGCAACTTGCCTACAAATTTTCCTTCTATGGATAGCTGGCACTATAACTGGACTCTAACTGGACAGTTAGAGCCCTTTCCAGCTAAACGAGAGTAGGATGCCAGTTAGCAAACGCTCTCAATAAAAGATTCAGCAAGAAAAGCTGAGTTGAAGAAATGCTTGATCACATCAAGGCCTTTCACCATTTCAAGAAAGCAGATGAGACACTTCATGTCCTATGTATGAGCTGTTTGCAATTCTCCACCTGCCTCCCAGAGCCCACGTGGCGCTCCGCGAGTCCCAGGCTAGGTGTGGCACCAACCTGCATTCCAAAGATACAGGCTATCCTAATGGCACAGCGTATTCCTTCCAAACACAGGGACGCAACTTCTGGGTCATCACAGTTCTGCAAGCCAACACTGTAAGCTGCCAGCAGTGGAGTCCACACAAGCTAAACAGAGGAAGAAACTAAATTCAGAGGTCTCTTACAGCTTTAGCCCAAAACACTGGGTTACTGAAGCCAAATACATCCAAAGAGTCCATGTGTTTCATTAGCAAACTCTTCAGAGTAATCTTCCACATTTTTTCCCATGCTTTAAATTCTTCACAACAAAGACACAGTGAGAACCTGACACTCACTTTGAACATGGGTCTGACATGATCCAGGTGAGTGGCACTGGTGAAAGGTGCTTTTGCATGGCTCACTGCCTCCATGAGGGCTTTGGCTGTCTTTGCCATTTGTTCCATCTCCAAGTTGTACAACAACCTCCGCTGCTTCTCATTAGCTACGCCTAAGGGAAACACCACACACAGACATTGCTTGCTTTTCTTACAAGAGCATATTCCTTCTCTTCACACTGAGCATCACAAAATGTTAAACAAAAGTACTGCAAATAAAATCTAAAGTTAGAAATCTTGCAAAATCTTAGAAGTCAGGAGGCTGCGCCAGGCTGCAATCAAGGAAGTCCAGCACTAAAAACCACACCCAAACGTGAGACTTTATTTTGTACAAAATAACTAATTCAGTCCTTTACTATATAACACATGCTATTACTTAATTGCTCCAAGTCAGAGGTGCATACTCTATTAAGTCATTCTGCCTGTAAAATCAGATGGAAAACCCTGTGTCTCCTTAGGCTCACATCCCCCAAACAAAATAAGCCCTCACCACCACGATAAATAAACTAATATCTTAGTGCTTCTTTATCCTTATACTGCAGGGTGAAACTTCAATTTTCAAGCAGATTTTGTTCCTATTTTGTTCCTATTTTGATTGAGAAAACCTGCAAACAGCATAAAAACACCGAGAAAACCACTATGCTGAAGATTCAGAATTCACTAATTTGAATTAAATCAGTACCACCTATTCTGAGTAAAAGTAGGGTACAGCTGGGGATACTAGTATGTACTGCATGCTACATAAAGAAGCCCTCATTTGGTCTGTATAAGGAGAGGTGACTATAGATTATGACAAACTCTCTAATCTCACTGGTTCTCTAACACTATCACAAGGACTGTGACACCTCCCAGCCACTGAACTATAGAGAAAGACAAAAAAACAGCCCAAATCAAGCCCTCATTCATTGTCTAGCACATAAAAACAAGTTAATTGCAAAGTAAGCTCCCCCTTGAGTTACTCCTCACACTCAAGTTTAAAACCCCAAGAGATCTGGTTTCTAGTGCTGCTCTGCAGTGGTGCCAGAGGCAGCTACACAGCTCTTCCCACCACCGGAGCCAGGGTTAAGTTGTAACTGAGCCAGTTTCGTTTCATATACCTCTACCAACCATTCCACATGTACTTTATGTATTTCCCCAAGACATTTTCACAAGGACTCTGCACACCACTGTGCCATCCCTTAGTTCCTGCCATAGCTCAAGAGCACTGTGATCTTTCCAGTTTCTAGTTCCTTCTTACTTGGTTTACTACACTTGGTTGTAATTGCATATTCTTTTGTCTCTTTCATTGCAATTTTCTTTCCTTCTATTTCTTCATAGATTGTGGATAAATACTCTTCTGGCAGGTCTTTACTGTCATTGATTCCTCGATTCATTTTAATGTACTGCTCCTTTGTCATTTTATTTTTTACCTGTAAGAATGAATAAATTGGAGATCAGATTTTGAACACAAGTTCCAGGGACATTTGGACTTCTGTAAGTTTGGATTTTTTAAAAATTTCTACCTGTGGACTGTGCAAGTCTGTAGTCAGCATTATAATGGAGTATGCCAAAACATAGGCGGTGTCTGCACTAGCAAATAGTGTTTGCCTGAGGGAGGAGAAAACAGAACAGGTTTATAGACTCCCTCAATCCATTAGCTCTAGTTCCATATGCAAGAAAAATACCCAGAAGTGCTATGGATTCAACCAAGGAGCCAACAAACACTGAAGCTAGCCATTAGAAATGCATGAAACCCTGAGCAGTTTAAAACACAAATAAAAAGGGTGGGGACGTGCATCATTTTTGCAATATTGAAAACTAGACTGAGATTTTCAAGTATACTCTCTACCAATTACCCAAAGAATAAGAATATATAATCTTAAAAAAGCTAAATAACGGCTTATTTTTTACTCACAGAGTTTCATAAACATTGATACAAAACCAACCCATTGATACACCAACTGGAGTAAGAAAAGGGAACTAATTAAGCCTGACTAAACTTGAGTGTTGATTGCACTAGGAACAATAGCAACTTTGCCTATTTGGTATCAAATAACATATACACATTTTGTTCTGCATCTAACAGGCAAGCAAAAGCACTGTAACATGCTATTAGTTGTTTATGCCATGATTTTTTTTAATTCTATCCATTTCTACTGCTTAATACAGATTTTTATACTTGACTGATCTACATTTGTCTAAAATTGTCTCTGTATTAGCTGTTGGATTTTAACATACTTAGAGCTTCCCTTTTCCAGTAACTCCTTTTAGCAAGTACTTGGGATTTAAAGAAATGACAGCATCAGTATCCTTCCTAGCCAGTATCAGCAGCAAGATCTCCTCTTCACAAGCCTGCAAAAGTTCCTGGCCTGATATGAGCTGAATCAATCCCCTGCCCCTCAGGGCCACACAACAGCACAGCAGGGAACGTTCTTTGGGCACTGGTCTGATGCAAAGGGCTTGAATTACCGTTGGTTGCATTCAATATATCTAGCAGCAAACTTCTCCATTAATCTATCAATCTTCTGGGCTTCACCTGGCAGACGAAAACCTTCCAGAAATATACGCAGAGCAGAGACAAAGTCTTTTCCACAGAAATCAAGCTGGTCTACATAGGCATACATCACTTCCTTGTTAAACTTGCTGCTTTCCCCAAGAAATTCCCCTACTTGAGTCTAAAAAACACAAGAGACAGTTATTACTGTGCAATCCAAGTGCCAGCTCTGCTAGAGGGTTTCTATGCCAAGAGTTGCACAGCTCTGTAAAGCTGACACGCTGGGGATCTCCAGCACTTCACCATAACACAGCACTTTACTGAGAAGCCTGGGACAGCAAGTAAGCAGCAGGTAGCTGCGGCATTAGGTGTGTCCATGAGGAGCCTTGCACGTTCATTTCCCTAAGATATGAACTCCAGAGCAGGGCACACAGATACTGGGGGCAGGGCCAAAGGTACAGGGGCAAGGGTAATAAACTGTGCTGCATGTAATCTTACAGAGCAGAGGCGTTCCTCTTGGTGCAAGAACTGTGCCAGGTCCTCTGTTGTAGTGCCAAGCATTCCCTGCTCCTGTAGATACTGTATTCCTCTCTTTGGCTTTTTATTAAACCTATTCAGACAAAAACATGGGAAAATTGACATACAATTAAAAATATAACAGCCTGTAAAATTTCAGTTTTACAGAGTCCTCATAAATCAAAGACTCTGTGCTGTAGCTCCATGTCTTTTCTTTCTAGTTAGGAAAAAAGTTTAAAATTGTGCAACAAATCTACTACCTGTATCACACCATAGGCTCCACTTCATAAGGTTGCTGATAACCTTATAAGTCATCACCTGAAAAACTCCAAAACTCACCCTTTTGAACATGAAAAATTTTACACTCTACATGAAATGCTAAAAATGCTGCTGTTCAAAACCTTCTTCTAGCATTTACAGACATGTAGACCTTCAAATTAATGAAAAAGAAGTAAAGCATAGCTGCACAATGATTTAATTCTTCAAACTCTATTTCAATAAAGAACAGCAAATCATGTAAGAGCTGCAAGACAACTACGTCCCTCAAATCAACTTTTCTACAGAACTACACACTCTTGCAGAGCTGAGTCAGCAAAAAAGAAAGCTGTGAAAACCCCTTCCACTCCACCCAGGATTTTATTAAATTCCCTTTAACTATTACAGCCTCCAGCACTGGTTTTTCACAACAGCAGGCAACAGTCTTCAGCATTAATATCAATTTGTAAGTGTCCCTACAGGTGTGACTGTGAAACCATAAGAAACAATACATTTTATTTAAAGTGAGCATTAGTCTTCCTGTCATACTGGGCTTACAGTTCTATCCCATGTTCAATTATGTCCTTTTGTTGCTTGATGACTTCAAATTGCTCTGGATCATCTGGGACAGCAGTCTGGGTACCAACACTTCCAACTCCTGACGATACAGTGGAGTCCAAGGAACTGACACTACTCCGTCTCCCTCCAGTGTCCAGACATTTACCTTCAGCCATTTCCTGTTCAGATGGTTTATATGAACCTATTCACAAACAAGGTGAGATTTAACTTATTCTTCTTCAGTCAAGAGCTTTTAGTTACAGAACTTTTAAGCAGAAATCTATGAGTTAATATTCTTATTTTACCATGTATACTTTTTGGCAGTCTGCACTACATTACATGAAGATTCTCTATTGATGCAATTCTAAAATAATTCAACTAAAGGCAGAAAAACAGCAGCAACTATGGAGAAATTCCAGTACTTCAACTTAGTAGCTCCAAGACTGGTCACATGTCTTGTTCTACATCAGCCTTTATAGTAAACAAGGGGCTGGCTAAAGCTCATCCACAGAATCTGGTTATTTAAAACAGACACTTGGAGAATCAGTTACTGCAACAGCACCAACAGCTGTCTGCAAAATACCTCACTTGTGTAAGCAAATTGTTAAGGTACAAACCTAGCACCCACACTTCTGAATAGCTTCTAAACAGTGAACAAACACAAGAATGAACTGATTAAATAAATCAGTCTCTCCATACAGAAACAATCTTACCCAAGCTAGTCTGATGGTTGGGGTTCACATAAAGGTCTTTGCTCCATTCTACCATACATTTTAAAATAGAAACCAAACATTCAAGTCCTTTTTTCCTCAGGCTTAGTTCCTAAAACATGAAGAAGAAGAATAAAATAAAAAAAGAAAAATCAAACCAACAAACCATGCTGAACAGTCTGTACAACAGTATCCCTCTAAGGACTGGAAAAGTGTAATCTTAAAAATAAAATGCTTATGGTGGAGATATGGTATAAAGTCTGTGCAAAGCAAACCCCACAGACGGTACCACTGGTTTATGAGCTCCAGAAAGGAAGCAAATTAACTGAGGCAGAGGAAGGCTCATTTAGTTCTCTCTCCCTTGGCAGTCAAACTAAAGAGACCAGAACCAGCCTGGTCTCAGTGCAAACTTGGTGGCAAAATCACCAAGTAATTAATGGCACTGCTTCAGCGTCCATTGCAAATTATTAAACAAATAAAAAGTAAGTAACATCAGTAGGTTACAGACAGCATGAACCTCTGGAAGTATCTGCAATGATGCAAAGATAACACCGTTTATGAAACAGCAGTACGTTATCTTCAAAGCTGTTTTCCTTACCTGTAAAGGTGTCATTCCCAACTCGTGCCCACTTCGTCCCTGTGCAATTTTGGATAAATCATTTACAAGACGTTCAAATATATTAGCAGCATTTAAATCACAATCATAGTTAACATAAATATCCACCACACACTGGGCATCTGGAAAATAAAAGGAAATGCAAGTATTAGGATTCTGTGCAATAGAATTTTTAAAAGAAATGAGCCAGTTGGAGCAGGCACTGCAGATGAATCCAGACGTTTAACCCAAGCACTTTAGGATCAAATTGAAATTTTCATACTTAAACATTGTATGTGGCATTTCTTTCCAAAATAATTTTCATCTCCTACCAGAAGAATTAATTCTTTTACACAGTGGAAATACCTGCACAAATTCTAGTTAAAGTCTGAATGACCATCCATTTGTGTTCAAAGGAACTTGAAGAAGTCTCTAGAATATTCAGGAAGATCTCTTTGAAGAACACCTGCAAAATAAATAAGATTAAGGACTTGATCTGAAACTTATTAGAATCACATCAAATGTACAGATTCATTTCTGTTCAGCAATTTCTCTTCAAGAGTAATATTTCATGCATATTAGAATTTGGACACAGTAGTAATATGTTAGTTTAGTAAGCAAACCAAACGAAGACATGAACATGGACGTTCCAGCCTTTTTACCTTGAGAACAGAATTTTGAGAACTAGAGCATATGCAATTTATAGATTAAAAGTCTCTCACCTCAATCTGCATTTTTAAATGGGTCTTAAAATTTGAAAGCAGTGTGAGGAAGATGGCAAGAGAGAGCTCAAACACATCAGGAACAGAAGAGACTCCATTTTTAGATAATGCTACACAAAGATATTGCTTGATTGCATTGATGAACATTTCATGTGTCCTGAAAACCAGACCAGCATTCTGCAGCACTGAGAGAAGCAGCTGGAGAGACACAACCTTGGAACGCAATTCATGGGATCTAGAAAAAATTCAATATTAAATGTACTTCTATACCTTCTTAATATATACTTGCATTCAACATTAGCACTGTAGCATTTATTCTACATCAGGAAGAAATGACTGCTATTTTGATTAATTTAAATGCAGGGGGCAAGAGGGGTGGAAATCAGCCAAGTGAATTTTGAACTTCTACCTTCCAAATCTGAATTTTTTTCACTAATATTAACATCTTAGACTAGCCTATATATGCAGCTCAGTGCTTCTTAAGCACTTCCCCACTCTCCCACCAAAAGCTCCACAAATACTGTAGTCAAGGCCACTCCAACTGGTAAAATTAATAAGCTGATTATACAAACCGAGAAATCTCAAGCATTGAATTTTTAATAATTTGAAGCTATTTTCAATCCCTGATTCATCAAGCTAACTAAACCAAGGGCCTGACAAGTGAATTTTAAATACCTGCTTAACTATACAGTAGCAACTTAACTGTCTCCAAAAGCTACCAGGAGAGGACAGAATAATAAATCCAGTCACATTACTTGGGATCTGGTGGTCCTTCCCCCAGCGGTTTCATGGAGAGCTTGCACAATGACCTGAACACAAGGAAGGCATCCTTTTGTAGAACATGGGAAAATCTGGCAGCAGCTTGATGTCCAGATACATCTGTTTCCTTGAGAGTAAGAAACACAACACAAACCCTCAGTGAGACAACGAAACAGAGCAATTAGGAGATTCCACAGCTCCTCTGAGAACCAGCCACAGTTTAAGCTAAACCTAGACAGGATTACAAGGGCTCTGGATCTTTTCACACATGTTGACTGACCCTTTGTCTCTGTCCCCACTCTGTATTAAAATGCAACTAATATAATCAATTTTAAGTCAGGTATTCTCAATATATGTTTAAATTGCAGCAGCTGCTTCCTTTTTGAATCTGAGCAGGACACACACATTAGCGTTTCTGTCCCTTTCTTCTGCCAAATCTCACTCTATTAGTTGTCACAATAAAAACTTTTCTTATTTCGTAGATGTATATTGGCATCCAGTACAGTTATTTACCAGATTATCAGTGGAGGAAACCGACTGCCCATCATCTGGAATCCCATTTGTTTGTACATTTTCATTGCTAGAGCCAGAAAGAAGAGTATCTGCAGTCTCTAATGCAGGCAGAGCCTTGACAGGTTCTGTTACCCGCTTTTCTTCAGCCGCTAAAGGGGAAAAGGGAAAGATGATTAAAATCATGCAAGAGTTTTCTATCCCATGACTTTGTGAAGCTCTACCACCAAGTGGCACAGAACTAGCACTGGTAAACTAGAAAGTTTCTCAGCTATCAGCAAAAGAATATTGTGATACAATCAAAAACTGTTCTTGCTGCTTTAGTAGGTGTTGTTGTCAAGATACTTAGTAACAAAAATTACTTCCATGCTTCTATAATCAATACATATGCAACTATTTTACTTTAGAAGACTTTACTACCTTTCACAGCTGAATCCACCACATCTTCCAAGATGCCTTGAACCATTTCCTTTCCTCCATCAATTGTTTCCTCTAATGAAACACGGAAAGAATTTTTGATTTAGTATTTTTGTTTGGGAAGAAGACTAAAAGGAAAAACATTGACAAGGGCAGAAGCATAAAAATTTATCAGTTTTCTTCAGCAGCTCTCATTGAAAGTAATTTGTGAGAAATTCAAGAAATTCAAAAATACTCATTGATGTTATTTATGTTGTTTGAATCAAAGCACTGATATTTTTAATGCAGTTATTTTGTCATTTTTATTTATCAACTGTTATCATTTTATTTATCAACTGTTACAAGCATTCCCAATTAAGATGCAGTATGTGCTGATGATATGGTCTTCATAACATGCACCATTTTTACCACAGGACTGCTCGCTACCTGAAAGCGGTTCTGTCACATCCCACATACCATGACAATTCTCTTCCTTTCCTTCCCCTTTATCAACCTGTTCAAGTCAAATTTTATTACAATCCTCCATAGATAAAGCACACATGGTTTAACTGGAATTCTAGGGAGAACAGGAACCTTTCTGCAGCAGTTATAGCCAAGGATGGCAGCACACTCTGGAAATCTACTGAGGAGAGCCAAGGGAGCCAGTCACTCCATCACTGCTCCTCAAAGCGGCCTCCAAGAGCATTATCAACAGGTTGGTTGTGAGTGAAAGCAACAGACAGGTGTTGTGCTCACCTGCTGCCAGCAGGACAGGCGCCCGCTGCAGCTCCCCGCGACCGGGCTCTCCATGGATGGGCTCCCCATGGATGGGCTCTCCAGGGCCAGGCTCTCCATGGATGGGCTCCCCAGGGCCGGGCTCCCCGTTGGCCAGCACGGTGCCAGCAGTGCCAGCCCTGCCTCCCCAGGAGCCGTGCTGCCGCTGCCCCGGCCGTGGGGACCGCGACCCCGCCACCGCGGGGGACTGCGGCTTCTGCGCTCGCTCTGCTTCTCTGGACTCCTGCAACTTGGAAAACACACATGGAAAGGTTCATCTAAGCACAGAATACACTGAGGGAAATCCTGTGAGGACTGATGATCCTTTGCGAACTGACGTTAAGACGTGAAACAGTGAAACTGTGAAACTACAATCACTTGGCCAATAAGAGTAAAAAGATACACTTCAATTTTATTTGAAAAGCATCATTTGTTTACCCAATGCCATTTGGCAGAAGCTATGGTGTGAAACCTTGTTATCAGCAGAGCACATCACCTTTTATTTTCAACTCAGTCAGTATGCCCCACTGCACAATTTGAAAGGTTTTCTAACATGACAAATCAACAGATATGCAACTACAATGACAGATTCATTAAAACAATAATAATAAAAAAGTTTTCAGTCATTTGCAAGCCTAAACATTTGATATGAGAAAAAAGTAATAGCTACTTACAGCTTGATTTTCCATCCGTGTAAAAATTACATTTAACATCTGTGTAAGGGTAGCTTTGGCAGTTGTCTGGTTAATAAGATTTTTACTGGCCAGATAGATGTTGTAGCACGTTCTAACCGTTTGAAGAATTGTTCCTTCATGAATTTCTATATATGGAGAGGTTACTGCAGTGAGAAGAGCCTAGGAAAGTCCATAACATGGTAAAAATGAAACCTGAGCAAGTAGGCAGCAATGCTCCTCACGCATGTCTTCCAGAATAATCACTGGATTTGCTACAAAACATAGATATCTTTTTTTAAGGTTTTACAAGCAACAACATTTCAAATCAAACACAGTTCAAAAGGACTTCCACATCTCTACTCTCTCCTGAGCTGTTCTTAGAGGGTCTTATCAAAACTAACTTTCCACCAAGGAAGATACTCTACCTCCAAAAAAATTTACTATATTCCATAGCTTCTTTTCCACACAAGAGTCAACTGGCCTACACCAATGTCAAGATGGATTACTAGAAGGTTCACTAACCTCCAACCTCAGCTACAGTAGCCCAAGAAGATTTCAGAACCAGAACACACACTACTGATGGATAATACCACACCTTGTTGAGAACATACACTGGCAAAATAGCCAGGCGAGCAGACAGGCTTGAACAGCATTCCATGGCACTGCATCCCAGTTCCAGAGCCTGCTATCAGGGCTGAAAGCAATTCCCTGCCCTGATGGAGGTAGGCAGTGAGCCTCTAAGAGGAGCACCAAATTGTCTGAAAGATGGTTTATCTCAGAAAGGACAAACATTTTTAAAATATTCCTTTACATCCTGCTCTTCCAATAGGAAGTACATTTTCCTCACCAATTCTGCCCTGGTGACAGCCTCCCTGAGTGCAGTGACACACAGAGCAATGCAAGAAGTGGAGCAAATGGGCCTTCAGTAATATTTTGCCTTTCTTTTTTTTCAGTTACAAAATTGAAGAGAGAGAAAGCAAATTAACATTGCACCAAAATGAATTGAATAGAATACCTTAATTATCTGCAGCTGTACTCCTTCATCTGTTTGAGGACCCTGAAAGCAATTGCAAATGGTCTCCACTATTCGGTCAATCAGCCGTTTCCCAGGAGCTCCGCTGTCCGGAGCATTGCCAGTGATATGCCCATATGCTATGAGTTTCTAGACAGAAAGAATGCAGCTTAGATGACCATATACTGTTAAGAAAAACACAGTTTAGCCCAGCATAAAAAGGTGTGTTTAGATAGCATATGTCACTTAACCAGTTTTAATGTAAATTTAATACCATCTATTGTCTGGCCAGCAAATACTTTGACTGCTCCCATATGTGGACAAAACAGATTTCAGTATGACACAAAAGCTTTTTCAACTCAGGCCACTTCTTCATACCATAACCAGAGAAAAAAAATTTTAACACCAGTCTTTTCCAGAGTGTGACTTCCTCTGTCACATCAGCACCACCTTGGTAACACTCCAGGTGGAGCACGACAGACAAAGCACCTTTACTGCCTGGTGTGAGATCCCCCAGCCCCAGCAAAGGGGATACAGCAGGGCAGCCACACTCCTCCCTGCGCCCAGTGCCCGGCTGAGTGTGACCCGGGGCAGGGGCCTGGGGCAGGGGCTGGTGTGACCCCGGGCAGGGAGCTGGGGCAGGGGCTGGTGTGACCCCAGGCAGGGCCACTCCTCACTGCAGGAGCTGTGTGCCAGGTCTGGTCACTGCAGCTTTCTCCACCTCACTCTGAGCAAGCTTACCCACAACACTCACCTGTAAACAATCCAGGGAAGTACTGACGATGCGTGGAGACTTTGACTGGCAGGCCAGCTCAAATGGAAGGAAATATTTATCTGCTTCAATGAAATTTGCTTTTGGTGGAGCAGCAGTGCCTTCTCTAGGTCAGATATAAAGAATTATTAATTTTTCTAAGCATGTATATCACAGCAAACTACACTCTCCTTTTTCTTAATTTAGAGCTAAATAATGCACAGCAGCATACAAATGTACTGCACCTTTCTTGCATATACTTTCTTAAACAAAGACCAATTTTCTTTAAAAATCACACAAAATCCATTTTACATTCATTTATATTCTATCTGATCTTTTTTGTATCTTCTTCAGCTTCCCTCACTATACTCCAACGCTGTCCCACTATCTGAAATATTGGAAAACTCCTATACAACTGATATATCTGCCCAGGTTATTCAAAATGGATTAAACAGTGCCCATAAGCAGAACACTCAGCAAACAGAAACACATCTGGAGACCCATTTGCTCATTTTCAATCACAGCACAGTGCTGGAAAACTTTTTTTAAACTTTCATTGCAGTAATATTTAAATTAACCTTCTTGATCTAGGTAATGAAGAGCACATGCTATCAAACAGAGGGTATGTACTGCTCCCCATGACTTCCTATCAGGCTAGTGAGTCCAGTAAAAGGAAGCACAAAACTGGCACATTTAGAAATTTCACAATTTTTTCCTGGTGAAATGCATAGGCAGTTATGACTTGAGTACCCACAGCCACAAACATTGTGTAAGTGAAACACACAGGCCAGGCGACGTGTTTGGCAGAAAGGTGGGTTTGGGTATTCAGGAACTCATAGCTATAATGTATATACACTCTTACATTTCCACAAAATAATTCCATTTGTTCTTTTCACACACTTCTGTTTAGAGTAATTAATAATTTACCTTGGCTTTTCCAGCTCACTTTTTATTTCATCTGGAAGAGAAAAAAAAAAAATTCAAGCCTTAGTTATCATTATCAATAACAGAGTAATAAAGCAAAGATGTTTAAATCCAGTTTTGCACTTCAGTATTTGCTAGTCCATTCCTGGAACACCTCAGCTTCAGAGATCAGAGTTTCACCAGTTATTGAAAGATGTATCTCTCCGATTTTACACTTAAAAAGCTACTTTTTTCCAAACAAAAGGTATCTTTCTCAATAAAAGGTATTTTTAGAACTCTCAGGCATAGTATGCAACTTCTGTTCAAGTGTAAGTCCACATCACAGAGCGCTCAGGTCTGCAGAAACCTTTAAGCTACTGCATAAACCATGAGTCCAATGCATCCAACCTTCCCTCAGACTGCTCATCTTAAGCCTTACATCCAGAATCAGTTGGACAAGCTCCCAGGAGATAGGAAATCTCAAATGTACTCTGTCTTTTTGCCAGCAGATTTTTTTTTTTAACTACACTTTCAAAGAGCTTTTCATAAAACTGAACACAGAGACGAAGAAAGTTCCTTTCCCATTTCTCTTGTATACAGCAGCAGATCCCAAAGACTCTAGTAAGGCTTTTTGAGGACTTCTAAGGTATCACCACGATGCACAATACAGACCAGCACAAGCACCCACTGTGAACACTGACAAATCCATATCTAAACCAGCTCCCACAGTAAGGCTGCACAACTACATCATCTCTAACACCAGTAGAACCTTCCATCCTACCCACAGCACATGCTGAAAACTACCCTGACTCTGGAAATTACCATGCTTACAAATCTTGTTTCAATTACAGGTATTAGAAAACGATCATTCTTTCAGTACTTGTACTCCACAACTCTGGAGAGACACCATTGTTTGCGAGCAGATGTCCACAGCTCAGATTATTTCAGTGCTGTCTGTGAACCTCAGGAATTTCTTCTGTCTCAGTAGAATCAATACACAAATCATACTAAGGAACAGGGACTGCAGCAGATGACAGGGTTTTGTCCAGACCTGCTTGTCAGTAAATGGCACAGGAATTAATCCTCACAGCGTGTACTGATTTTGTAAAATTCCTACCCACACTGGATAGAGAAAATGGAAGCAGAACATAGCGAAAACCTGTGTAACTGTAAGCTGTGAGTAAGAAGCTCCATCCAGGACTGCTGCTCCCTCTGCCATATCCACTTGTTAATGAGCATCAGTCTGACACCCCTCAGCTCTCACAGCACACAATCATACCATACCAACTGAAGTAATATTATCCACCCCAGAGTCAGCCAGAGAGACACCAGGAAAATGGAAGAGCCTGGGGTGCACAGTGTTCCCAGCTCTCCTCAAACCATCACACAACCAACCATACCCAGCAGCCTTAAAGAACAGTTGTCACTTGCCAGCCCTGCAGATGCCAAGCCCAGCATCCAGCACTGAGGCCTGGGGGCTTCAAGGTCAGTAGGAACTTTGCAGCTGTGTGACAGTGCAAAGCCAGCAACACCATCCCCTGATGCTTTAGGCTTCAACTGGAGAGGAGACAACAGAATGGAGGTTATTGGTAAGAAATGACCAAGGTTTTCTGTGCCAAACAAACAACATAAATCTTGCACAGCACCACTTCTTAAACCACTGTGCTTTTCATTCCAGGATCCAGCTGGCATACCAATCAGGTGACTAGTCAGAAATTCAGTTCAACATAATTTCAATTCAGGCCTTTTGAATTAATTACCTTCCCCATCTTTAACACCATTTTATAATCCAAAGAGAACATATGTGACCCACCAATGTATTGTGTCCCTGTTTTGATCTGCCTTACTCTCAGCACAGCACATTCCCCTAGCATGCAGGAACTGCTTCTTAAAACACAGGCTTCTGAGTAGCTTTACACCTTCACAACGCTTAGTCCTGCCTCCAGGTCTTGGCAGAGAAAGACATATTTTAGCTATAGCTACAATCCCAAGTACAGCAGAATGCCAGGGTCAGCAAAACATAATTAGTGCTGTATTTCAGACACCCTGTAGAACTAAGGTGTACAGAGCTTTTGCTTAATGAAGAAAATTTTCTAATGCAAAAACTTCACTAAGTTTCTCTTTCTTTCAAGGAGATCATTTCCCCCCCCCCCATACTGATTGTTTTGCAGAGTAAAAAATATGTGAATTGAAAGATTCACAAATATTGTAGCCTTTGGGAGACATGATCATGCCCATCTTTACAGATACTTGTCACAGATCTTGCACTGGAAAAATAATGCAAGAATAATATCCCATATTAGAGCAACAACAGTTTAACTCTCAAAAGTATTCTATAAATAACAACAACAAAAAAGATCTAACCAAGGTCTGACCAAGTTCCCCACAGTTTTATTACAATAAAAGCTTTTCTAAAGCCATATGAAAACATCTTCACCACAACAGTATTTTAATACATAATACTGAAAAGAATAAATGAAAGGACAAAAGGCAGCTGCAGGCATACTTCTGCTACTCATTGCATCAAAACAGTTTGAAAACCTCCACATCTGAAGTACTCATTTGGGGGTCTGACCATCACAAATGACCAAAGCAGAAATAGTTGCCCAATTGAAGTCTGCTGCCAAGGACAGCTTGCCAAGCCCTAAGCAGACACGGCCAGCTTCCAGAAACCGCCTGCCACTGGTCCCGTTTTGCTCCAGTCACAGGAGTAAGGGGCACAGCTCAGCTCCCTTCTGCAGCTACAGAACACAGTCCCAATTTTGGTCACCATCTGATCACCCCAGCACAATGCTGACCCCTGACTGAGTGCTTTAGGTACCAGAGCTCCCTGTCTCTCCCACGGCGCCTCCTTCAGTCAGAAACATCTTCAACCCCTGTGCTGCCCAGGCAACAGGCCTGCAATAAGAATGGCCTTGCAGCAATTTCTTCCAGAGTTTCTGGCCATGAAAGCAGGATGAAGATCACATTGGGTAGCTGCCTTTCTCTAGCAGATGGATGGGCTCAGTTTGCTGGTACTGAAAACTCCACATTAAACCAGAGGACATTGGTTATCTGCCTGCAGCTCGATGCCTGCTCTGCGGCCTTAGAGTCAGGTTTGTGTCAGTGGCAGCAAGCGAGCCCCTGTGCAAAAATGGCTTGTGCTGGCACAAGGACATGGGCCACGGTCCGAGCAGCAGGGCCAACACAAACAGGAGAGCAGCCAGAGCCTCCCTCCCCAGCCCAGCAGAGCCGACCACGTTGCCCAAGGCCAGCCTGCCTTCGACTCCATGCAAAGCCCAACAGGCATCGACCACACGTGGCTGCACAGAGCCCTTCAGAAAAGGGCCAGGGCAAGCTGGACTCTGCCCTCTGAACACGCTGGCCAAGAGGCCAAACGAAGAAACGCAACTCATTTTGGACATTTGTCATTTATACACAGAGAATTCCTAAACACGCAGCCAGATTCCTAGGTGAAAGCAGGGTTGAAAAGATTTTAACTTGTTAACAAGCTAACTAAACAAATTCTGTTGTTTACAAAGCTTGAAATATGTATGTGCAGCTGCTACCAGAGAAGGCTGCAGAACTAGGGTGGCTGCACAGTATGTCATTAAAAAGAGCCCCAGTAGGGCAGGACTCATAGTTTATGTGAGTGACCCAGGTGCACAATTAGCATTAGTCTCATATGAACTGCTGGGATACAGACGGTCAGTATTCCACTGCAAAATTTTTCAGGATAATTTCAATAGATTTATTAAGAATCATGTGTACCTGCAGCTTTAGGTAAATGCAAATGCTTATTAAGCAACTATTTTTATACAATATAATGGTCTGTTGAAAAGAAACATTCTTTAAAACAGTTTTCTAAAACAGAGCAGAACAGCTTCTCTGTTTAAAACCCTCAATTTCTCCCAATCTCTCCTGGGGTTTACTGGCACTACAACTACAGGAGACAGCCGTTACACCTACTGATGAAGCAAGAAACTGAATGAAGGAATCTATTCAAACTCTGCTTACTTAACACTAACGCTGTGTATTTCAAAGGAGGGCGTGGAAAGAGGCAAAAAAACCCCAAAAAACCACCACTGTGAAGCAGTTTTTTTCCTTTTCCTCCACATGTGTGTTTCTGTCCTACTTGCACCTATGTTACTTCTGATTTCTACAAGGTCATGTGTATCTTGTAGTCCAAAACTGGTCAGTATTAGGCCAGTGAAATGACTGAACTACATGGAAAAAAGGGTAAGAAGAATTTAAATTTAGAAAAGTTAAAGCAGATTAATATTAGAATTAAAGAATACCTATATTTCCTACACAAGAGAGACAGCAGCACTCAGTAGTAGTTTACTTAAATTCTTAAATTAAGGAGTTACATGTACAAACCAATACAGAACTCAGGTAAGAAAACAAGAGCATCATTCCCACAGTTAGAAACATCTTTCTCTCTCACCAAACAACAAATGTAAAGCATAGGTAAGTAACAGAAACACTGCTGCAGTAACACCATAGCAGAAGCCATAAAAACTGGTTCACTTCTATTAGGCAGCTGTAGAATACACCAGTTTCTCCCTGTTTGGAAAAAAAAATTCATCAGACTTCCCTTGTCCCAGGAGCAGGCTCAGCTACACATGCTCCATGCCTGTGCTGCCCAGTTTATGGCTGGCACAACGTCACAAGGCTCCAATAAAAACACTGCTGCACAGAGAAGACTGCACAGCAGAAGGGACTTAGGAAGTAGAAAGGGATTATTTGAAGTATTACTTGGAGAAAAGTTCAGCAGACAACAGCTGACACAATGACCACTTTCATAAAGTAACTACATCTCTTTAAAACAGAATTATTTTTATTCGGTGTTAACTGGACTTTTGATTTACAACACTGAAACTTCTTTCATCCCTGACAGTTTCTGTAGATTACAAAGTTTGGCTTGAATTCTTCAGATTGCCAGTAATATTCTCCCCACATTTCCTCACATATTTACTATTGCACAGAGCTTGAAAATTAAGTTGAAACTTTTGGAACTGTCATAGTTTTAGCTAATACAAAGTATATGCTTAATTAAAATTAAGTATATGGAAACAAAACTGATTTTTTCACCCAAGGAAAAAAAAAACCTAAAATAGAATAAAGTTTTGGGGGAAAAAATCACACGTAAATAAAAGAAACCCCTGTTGGCTTTCCTGTTGGCAACCTAAAATGATCAAGTAATATTCACCAAATGCAACAGAGATCCTCCCATACAGCCATCCAGGCCCCTAACAGCTGGTCAGCAGGAGGTTATCTCTTTCTGCTGACCTCTGCTTTAGCCCAGGAAAGCCCCCGGGCTCCTCTTCGAAGCAGGTTTACTTTGTGCTCCATGACAAGCATTAGCTCCCCTCCCACACACTGCACTCAGAACACAGCCACAACGCTGGCAGCTGCCAGGGCTGTTGCACAACACTCCTCCCAAAATCTTCACCTGCAAGGCCTGAGCAAACACAGACCTTCACCAGGCATCTTACAAGGAAGTTCCATTTCTCAACCTCTAAATATATTTATATAGCAGCAAAACAGGTTCTCAGCCCTGTAAATGGGCTCAGTGCATGCAGGGCAGCTGGGGAAGAGATCAGGAAAAGAACTCATTAGGAAAAGCAGTCTCTGCCTGCTGGGGCATAGGTGTTTACACTACAGGCAGCTCCTACAGATCTCCTGGCAGTAAAGGCTGCTGGGAGGAAGACAGAAATGACAGCACTTCTTTGAGCTCACTCTGCCTGGGGCACAACTTGCACCTGCCCAGCCTCCTTACAGACCCAAGCTGTCTTTTCTTCTGTCTTGGATACAGTAATTGTTCCCCATTCAAAGGAAAATATTGATGGGAAGCAACCAAAAAGGAAAGAGAAATGTCACTTTTGCAAATTAAGAAAGGGCCACGGAGAACTGCAGCTGCAGAGCTCTGCTGTTCTACCCAGTTTGTCTTCTCCCTCTCTGTGACACACCGTGTGCTGTCAGAACTTCCACCACAGACACCTTAACATCAGCTTGTACTTGCAGATTTCAGTCCACCAACTTTGCAAAAAGCGCATTCAGCTCTGAAAACATCACAGATATTACGTGTGCCTGGCCACAATGCTAACAGTCCTCAGCCAGTCCACGACCTGGAGATCAGAGGTCAGATTTAACATCCCGAGAAGCTCTGGGACTCCCATAGTCCCTAAGAGGGCCTTAAATACTCTTGTTTCCTAGTCCAAAAGCTGTGACTAATTTTCTCAAAACCGAAGTGGCAAGACCAAGTCCCTCCTGTTCCACACCGAGACCAGAAGTTAACAAAACAGTACGTGTGGGATTTCCCCTCGTATTTGCACGGCCTGTACTGGAGGGAGACCTCTCCCGCACCCTGCCGGGACGCCAGGTGGAGGGGACGTGTGCCGGGGGGCTGGGCCCTGCCACCGCCGCGCCCCGCGTGCCTGTGCGGGCCGGGCCGGGCCGGGCCGGGCCGACTCACCCAGCGCCACCTGGCAGGCTGTCCGCAGCTGCCCGTGCGGGGGCCGCTTCGCCTCCTTCTCCGCCAGGATCTTCTCCAGGGCCCGCGACACGAACATGCTCTTAGTGCGGGCGTCCTGCTCGTGAGGCGGGGGCTCCATGGCGCGGCCGGGAGCGGGAGCCGGGCGGGCGCGGGGCCCGCGGCACCTCCCGGAAGGGCCGCGCCTCCCTCAGCGCCCGCGCCGCCGCCACGGCGCCGCCATCTTGGCACCGTCACGTGACTCGGCCCGGCCCTGGCCCCGCCCGCGGGGCCGCGCGTGACGGAGGCGGAGCGAGGGGCGGGGCCGAGGACGCAGTGAGGGGTGGGGCGAGGGGCGGAGACGAGGGCGGAGTCAGAGGTCGCGCGAGAGGCGTCGCCAGGGGGCGGTGCCGGGGGCAGAGCAGAAGGCGGGGCGAGGGCTGTGCAGGGGCGGAGCCTGAGGGCGGGGCCTGGGACTGAGGGCGGAGCCTGGGACTGAGGGCGGAGCCTGGGACTGAGGGCGGAGCCTGGGGCTGAGGGCGGAGCCTGCGCCCGAGGGCGGAGCCTGCTTTCGAGGGCGGAGCCTGCGCCCGAGGGCGGAGCCTGCGCCCGAGGGCGGGGCCTGCTTTCGAGGGCGGGGCCTGCTTTCGAGGGCGGGGCCTGCGCCCGAGGGCGGAGCCTGCGCCTGAGGGCCGCGGCGGTCGCTGCCGGAGGAAAGCTGTAAATTACTGCCCGGGGCGTCGCGTTGGTGGAATGCTCGCTTTTATAACGCTTCTAACCTAAGTATCGCCATTCGCATTAACCCTGTTAACTCTCACGCAGTCCTGTAACGAGGCATGGAGAAAGAGCATGTCTAAAACAGGCAAAGTCGTACATTAACGAAGACTCGGTAAAAGTTAAATTTTCAGTTACAGAAATTCAGCCTCCGTGAATACCCTTCTCCCTGTGCCGGTGAGGCCCTGGCCGCGCGGCCGGCTGAGGGCCCGGCTCGCTGCCCACACGCCCTGGGCCGCACAAAGCTCTCCTTCCCGTTCACATGGCCGCATCCAACGACAACGCAGGAGCATTCAATTCTCTAGACTGCCGTTTTGCTTCCTTTTTTGCAAACAGCAGGACTCTAACTCTTTAAAATGTCACTAATGAACCTCCAGTGTTGATTTGTCAAGAACTGCAATTTTTGTCCCCAAAACCACTAACAAAGGCTGCGAACACCTGTGCAAAGCATCAGTTTAGTATTATTTCCCAGGGAAAATTGACCAGTGCTTGTATTTTTAGACACATAATTTCTAAATGTGCTCCCAGTCAGAAATGTGACTGCAAACGCAGCCCCCAATGCACACGTCTGGATGCTCCTTTCACTTACACTACTGCACATTAAGGGTAATTCTACTGTTACCACTGAAATTACAGTGATGCAGAAATGACATAACTAAAAGACAAATGAGGCCCTGAATCTTTTTTGAGAGTTGCTGACTTAGTTATTGACACAAAAGGAGGCTGTAATTACTGTCAGCAGCATTGCAGAACTAATTAAGCAGCAGAGCTCTTCACTTATTGTCAGCCAAATTATCAGTTCTGATTTTAGGGTTTTTATCGTGGGACAGGATTAGTTCTCAGGAGAGAAGTAAATGGATATTTTTAGAAAATAGATTGAACAGATGGTTTAACGGAGATTTAAATTTTTTTTCCTATCAGGCAAAACCCCTGTTTTTGAAACCATAGAGTAGTGTCTGAATTCATAGGTGTAGGGCTACACTGAGGTTATGGTTTGGGTTCCAGAGAGCCAGGAGTCAGTGGCAGGCCCCAGCTGCAGCCAGCGAGCGAGTTTCCCTGGTTGCCAGTGGCAGTGAGGAGCACAGAGCGGGTGGATGGCACGCTCCCCTGGCTGAAGGGTGCTTAGAGCCAAGGGCTTCTTTCACCTGGACACCAAATGCACCTGGGCTTCCCAGCACATGGCAGAATGCCTCAGTCTCGCAGCCCACATAACGTCTCAACCACCAGAGACAGTTCTAAAGTCTAATTAGCCTGCTCTGCACACTGTGCTCTCCTTACACTGACATCACTGTGTAACTGAGTGCAGTGAAAGAACTATGGGATTGACATCATTCTTACAACTATTTTCAAATATTATTTTCCTCAAAGTATTTCAAAATTATGGTAGCTGATTTCTGAGGTGAAGAATGCTAGTAATTTGGCTAATTCAAAAGCAACATAGCCCAGTGCACTGTTGCTGCTGAGCACAGCACCATGCTGCAGAGCGTAGCTGCTGGCTGCAGGCAAACAAAGAAAGCAAGCCTTTCCAGTGGGAGAGAAGGCAGACCAAGGGGAAGTACATTTATCTGCATGCACGTGCTTGCCAGTGGGTTCAGTGCCAATTACCAGAATTACTATTAAACTGCTGTAAATAGCTCGTTGTGGCAAATACGTCTGCAGTGCGAGACATAAATCATGAGCAAACAATGCCTAACAGGTGGACAGAGTTCACAGTTTGTACAAGCTACTTCCTTGGCAAGAAGCTTCTCTGGACTCCTGCCCAGAGGCCAGGTGCTCTGTGCTGACTGACAGGACTAACCTCACAGCACTTTCCCACTGGTGTATTGCTACACAGCTTGTTAGCTTGTTTTAGGAAGGAAACCACAGTCTAAAAATAGGTGCAGAATGGACAGGAAAATTCTTGGAAAACCAGCACTGGTCCGTATAGTAGCTTAGTTCCCAATCCAGCATTAACATAGAACTTCTTTTCTCTTCTTCTGCCCATTTTTAATAATTTCCTTCGGGACTGATTCTATTTGGTCTGCCTGGCTTCCAGCCACTTTTCCCACTGTCCAGTAATGTACGTATCAGTGGATTTCCCAGGGGGGTCCTCATTTGATTCACTGTCTCAACTCTCTCATTTTTTCCAGCTCAACACTGCATGCCCTAAAATCAATAAATCCACATAGTAAAGCATTCTACCACCACTAGCAATATAATTGTGGTAACTACTAAGTGAGTAATTATACAAGTATTTATGTGATATTGGCGAGGCATTTCACCATGATTGTATAGACAATGCTATCCCTTTCATTCCTACTTTCTTCAAATCCCAGTCTTAGACCTTCTGTGTCTTCTGACTGTCTCACTGCCAGGAGCCTCACACAGAACTTGCACTCCAGCCCAGAGAATCTCTGTAATGTGGAAAAAGGACAGACAATGTATCTAAACAGCACTGTGCAATGTCATGAGATGAAAAGAAAAATCACTTGGCAGGAGATGCACTGGAGCTGTTTGTCCACCAAGCTGGGCCAGGCTGGGCAGGAGCTGCTGCAGCCAACCCTGCAGCTCAGCCAGCCCTGCACCACTGCCAGCCCTGCACAACTGCCAGCCCTGCACCACTGCCAACCCTGCACCACTGCCGGCTCTGTACCACTGCCAGCCCTGCAGCTCAGCCAGCCCTGCACTGCTGCCAGCCCTGCACCGCTGCCAGCTCTGTACCACTGCCGGCTCTGTACCACTGCCAGCCCTGCAGCTCAGCCAGCCCTGCACCACTGCCAGCCCTGCACTGCAGCCAGCCCTGCACCACTGCCGGCTCTGTACCACTGCCAGCCCTGCAGCTCAGCCAGCCCTGCACCACTGCCAGCCCTGCACTGCAGCCAGCCCTGCACCACTGCCAGCCCTGCACCACTGCCAGCCCTGCACCACTGGCAGCTCTGTACCACTGCCAGCCCTGCACCGCAGCCAGCCCTGCACGGCTGCCAGCCCTGCACTGCAGCCAGCCCTGCACTGCTGCCAGACACTGCCCAGCTCTCAAACCTGACTGCAGCACTTCTGCTCACTGCTGGGATTTACCTTTTGGCCCAATATTTTACCTTGAAGTAAGTTACAAAGGACAATAGCAGTATTTTGAATAACTGAGATTTATACAATTTTAAGTAAATATAAATTAAATTGTTCTTTCCTTATAAAGCCATCAGGACAGATCAGATTTGCAGTTCTCTCTCTCACATTTGAGAACTTGAACTTTCTTATAAAAAAATCTGAAATACGTACTTTGGCTATACTCCAAATCTGCAGTTTTCATTTCTTTCACATTTCAAAGGATCGGCAGCCTGTCCAAAGAAAGCAGCCCTGCATATCCCACAGAATAATTTTGTTAAATAAATTTTGTTTTGACCTTTCAATCAAAACCAAGTTAGAGATTTTTTTTTCACTTGTCCTGGCAGAAGGAACGAATCCTGAGATCAGCTGTGGTACCAGACTCACATGATGGTATCGCAATAAATCACATGTGCCGGACAGAAGCAGACACAGACCCTTTGATGCTGAACTGCAGCCTCTATTCCTTGTTATGATAACAAATAATATGTAACCATAAGAGGATGTGTTAGGAATATAACAGTGTTCAGACAAGCAGAGATGCAATAGAATCTGAAGATCAGACTTTAAATCAAAGTGTTCATATATTCAAATATTATTGCCTTCATGGCCCATATTACTGAACAACCACTGCTCTCACTGATAGCAGTGTGGTTTTTTTGATGAGCAGCAGCCCTAAACACAGTCACTTTAAGAGCTTAACATATTCAGGCTTGAAAATTTCTAACTATTTTCCTTTTACGGTGTTTAGAACCATACCTAAGCCACAAAAGTCTGCAATTACCTAAATACAGAAAAACATTAGAAACAACATGTTTTGAAAACAACAAAAAGGGCATTTGTTTTTAAAGGATAGCAGCCAGAGTGAAGGAGCTGTTGGGATATTTTTGCCAACTCCTGCTTTTTCCTGCAGAGTGAGAAGTGTAATTGTTTGGAAAGATGCAAATGCAGTTGAATAGCTCCCACACCCTGAGGTGCTGGAGAGGTGGAAGACCCGGGGCTGGATAATCACCCACTTGCAAATTTCCTGTCTGAGAGGTGATAATGAGACTTTACTTGCCACACAAGCAAGTGCTAGTTAGAGCTGTGTGTGTCTGAATGGCACAGAACCGGCTGTTCCATGTTGTATCTGTGCACAGAACAGCCTGCTTTGCACAACACTCTGCTTTTCACCAAGGTAAGTGTATAATGAGGCACATTTTGTTGACACAAACCTTGTACTCAGTAAAAACAAAGGAACATAATACTAAGCTAGTGAAGGTCCTGGTTTTCAATTATAGTTGATAACTTCAGTCAGAAGATATGAGTAGCTCTATGAGGAATTAAAATTATAAGTGACCTTCTCTCTGACCTTTAATCTGATCTTTATTTCTCATCATTTCTTGTAAGAAACTCAGAGTGTCATCAAGAAATG